TGCTTCTTTCTTTTCATTTTAATTTTCCACTGCCTAATTTCTTGTTCAGTGCTCTCCCCCGAGAATCAACATTCAGTGTTGAACTTGAACCTCAGATCTCGGTAGTCTTTCATGCGCACCTCTTCAGCCAAAATCAAATCACAAATATCATTATATTTTAACTTAGATTTACCAGCAGAATTGCTAACAGTCATTATCATGGCTTCCCCAATATCAGTGCACGTATCTCATCATCAAATTCAATTTCAACTGACGATAATTGATTTGTGATGGTATTAAACTCATTCAGATATTGTACAACAAACGTACCATCCGTCATCTTTAGATTGAATAACTTTTCATCAAGTGCACCTTATTATTTGTTGACGTCTTTTCATACATACTTGACAGAGCTGTCATGAGATCTGTAGTTGCCCTTTCCTTGATGAAGTTGTGTGCAACGAATCTCGACAGATTTAACCAAATAACCCCTAGAACTTGTCAATCCAACAGATTTCATTCAGCCTCATCCATCTTTTCTGATCGTTTTCCCGATAACGGAAGATGAAGTTTCTTCTCATAGAGATAGTCATTTATTTGCATTCTCCAGTAACCAAAATCCGTGTCATCAAACTCCTCGATCCCCGATACCTTCACTTTGTTTTCAGTCATCATTTTCCCTCAAACCTGAATCACGGCTCTGATACCAATTGTTGTGAAAAAAAAGGCGAAAGAAAGAAAATATGAAGCTAGAAAATCACACACGACACACAGATATACGTGGTTCGGCAACTTGCCTACGTCCATGAGAGTTGCAGAGGATTTTATTGCTCGAAGAATTACACAGTCGATCGCTTCGCTTACAAGAAACTGTCTCGACTCCCTCCCTCTCTTTCTTCCTCTGATTTTCGCTGCCCGCCACTCCTTCACCGCCGCAACTCTTGTCGTCGCCCGCTCCGTCACACTGGTTCAGTCACGAGATGTGAACCCAGAAGTCGCAAAAGCAGATGAAGTGCGGGATCTAGGAGATGCGAAGAAATAAGGGGGCGAGATTCCAAACGGAAAAGACACAGGAGACGATTACAGAAAGAAATCAAAGAAATATATATTCGAATGTCAAATTCAAATAACTGTCATAAAGAAAAAATTGTCAAAACATGAAGTGGACCGGGCTCCACATTACTCAATAGAATGTACATTTTATCTAATAAATGAAATGTTTGAATATATTAGAGTAGTTAAAACAATGGTTGATGCAGTTCTCTAGCCACGCATACTTAACCGTATGCGTGAGAAAGATATGGAGTTTTTTACTTTCCAAAAATAAACTTCAGAGGTTAAATTCTATAGAATTAGATTTTTGTGAAGCTTATATTTATGATAAACAAACAAAGATTGTTTTCACTAAAAGTGGGTCAAAGTTAATGTCCAAAAAGCTAGAGTTAATGCATAATGATGTATGGGTTCCAAACACATGCTCACTAAGACTTTTGTATCTTCTTCCATCAATGAAATTTTTATTTTGGCGAAAAAAAAATATATGGGGTCATACTCCGTTTTCTTTAATAATCACACTAGGAAGATATATGTGCACTTCTTGAAACATAAATCTTATGCATGATATATTTAAGAAGTGAAAATTCATAATTGAGAATTAGAAAATGTTCCAGTTAAGTGTCTCAGAACAGATAATTGTGGCAAGTTTTGTGATCAGAGGTTCAAGTTATTGTGCTTCACAATGAATCAGGAGGCATGTGTTCACTATTCAAAGAGTTATGGTGTTGCTGAGCACGTGAATGGAACCATCATAAAGCATACTGACGGTATGCGATTGCATGTAGGCTTGCCATAATAATTTTGGGCATAAATAATAAACACCGCAGTTTATTTGAAAAATCATAATTCATAAGTACTTTCGAATGAAAACTTACTTGAAAAGGCTTGGAATGACAAAATGCTAAATCTATATTACTTGAAAGTATTTGGTTGTTCATCATATGTTTATATTTAATGTATGATCTAGGAATATACCTGAATCAAAATCTGTCAAGTGCACTTTTATTGAGAATGACTCGGATAAATTTTATTATAAATTCTAAAACTATCAGAATTATAAATTCATTAGGAGCGAGAATGTCACTTTTAACAAAATGGATATGTACAAAAACATAAACAAAACTCAAAATTGTCAATCAGTTACTTCTAAAATCCACTCTTAATATATTGAGCTAGAAAACTCAAGTGATCGAAAAGATGGAGAAAGAAAAGGTGTTCAATCTGATGAAGTACAGGATGTTCCTGAGACACCTACTATCGAAGCCAGGAAGTCCAGCAGAATCAGAAAATCAATACAAATATATTATCATTCTTTGTACTATCAATTATTGACTGATAGTGGTGAACCAAAGTATTACGATAATATCAATCAAGTTGAAGACTTGAATGAGTGAGAGTTTACCATGAATGACGAGATGCAGTTGCTAATATCAGATCGGACATGAGAATTAGCAGAACTACCAGATGACAAAAAAAATTGCACGAGTAGGTTTACAGGCTGAAAGAAGACTCGGATAGTAATAAGCGCTGCAAGGCAATGCTCGTTGTGAAGGGATTTCAACAACAAAAAATGGGTTGACTACACTAAAATATTTTCTCTTGTACTAAAGATGATAAGTATCAGAAATGTGTTAAGCTTATTAACATGGGAAGATCTATATCTGAAGTAGATGGATCTAAAAATAGTCTTCTTACATGGTAACTTATAAAAAGAACTGTATATGGTGCAACCAAATCAATACGAAACTCTAGAAAAAGAACATTTGTATATCAAAAAAAAAATACTTATGATTTGAAGCAGACACCAGAACAGCGGTACAAGAAATTTGACAGGTATATGTTAGACAGTGGGTACACGAAATGTCAGGTGAATCATTTTTTATTATATTATCAACCATAGAAGCCGAGTATATTATTATCAATGAGGCTAGCAAAAAAATTATTTGGTTGCAGCGCTTTATGGCAAAATTAGGCAAGGAACAAAAGAATAGAAACTTCATAATGACAGTATGGGTGTCATTCATCTAACAAAGAACATCATATTTTATGCTAAGAAGAAGCACATTCAGCTAATGTATCATTTCATTCATTCTCTGTACAAAGATAATCAATTATCTCTGAAGAAGATACATAACTTACAATCTAACAGATGTGTTGTCGAAGGCTGACGGTTGAGAAACTGAGGTTATGCTTAACTTTAGTTGGAGTTCAAGAAGGTTGAGACAGAGATGAGTCACACTATAGTTTATTACTAAGGAGGCGTTGCAGATTTGGAGTAAAACTGATTTCAATTAGTCTCTAAGTGAGAGATTGTTATTATGTGAAGCTTGATTGTGTTAATCAATTGTTCACTAAGAGTCTAATTGTGTTGATCGATTGTTCATTCACAACATGATTTTTTTTTTACTATACACAGCTCCCCAACGTCCAAAAGGCAGCACCGTCGCACTCGATACAGGTTCAAACTCGAGTGCACGACACTCCAGCATCAAGAAGGGAGCGCCAAACAAACAGATACAACACCCCAAAGACGAAACCAGCAGTGCTGCAACGCCCAATCCAAGTTCAAAAGCCAGAGAGCAAAACACTTCAGCGCTCGAATGCAGTGTCACAACGCCCAGTCCAATTTCAAAAACTTGAGAGCAAGACACTTCAGCACTTAAATGCAACGCCACAGTACCCCTTTAGAGAGTCGTTACGCACTAACACGATACCCCAATGTTAGTAATAGTATTTGTGCAGTTCTCTAATTTAAGTTTCAATTTTGTTGATCAGAAAAGTGTGTGCTGAAGTTGAATTTTGATTTCTCTAATGCTAAAGAGATGAGAGGAGCATCATGAATTGTTCCAAAGTTTGAAGAGGCTTTAATGTGGTGTAATTTGTACAAATCTCATTATTCATAGTGGATTTTTTGATATGATATGGCTTCGTGGTTTTTTTCTAGTTCCTGAATTTTTCCTCGTTAAATCTTGATGTAATTTGTAGTTTATGTGACTTCTTGTTTTGTGTGTTTTTGTTCTAAGTTTTGTTTCGAATCTCTCAAAATCGGTTTCCGTATCTCTTCCAACAAAGAGTGTACACTTATAACCTCGAATGATATTCCAAATGCAATAGTTTGTAACACCAATTAATTTATAATAAGACAAGTCTTATGTATAATACTAGTATTCCAGTGTATAGTTCTGGCAGGAGGCCATAGGCATACATTTGATATGTATTCATCATCAACTTCAATTGCTAGAGGTGGTTTTGCTATAGAATATAAAAACAAATTTGTATCAGCATCCCATCAGTTCTTTCATTCCCTCTATCTCTCTCTCTCTCACTCACTATTATAACCTCTCTCATCCTCTCTCCTCTCCTGCACTCAACAACCATCTCATCCCAATCAAGGATGGATTGAAGTGGGTTTCGGGTTGCCATTAGACCTCTCACTTAGTTCTCTCCACTCCCTCTCTCACACAATCTCTATACTTCCAAGTTATGCCATCTCTCTAGCATATTTTGTTCCTCATAATATCATGCATAATTTCATGTATAGGACATCAAAATAAATATACATCAAATATTCTGATTTAAGAGATTATAACCATTCAACCCATTTAATTGTGATTGAACTTTCATTTTGTATATTAATTTTGAAATTGAGAAATCAGCAACAATGCTACTTTCCAGTTATCAGTATGCCAAAGATAATTGAATCAATAGTAGCTAAACGGCCTACGCTTGAATATTCAGAATGAAATAATTAAATTCTCTTGGTGTTAAATAACCTAACAAAATTCTTTTATGCTCTGAATGAAAAATACATTGATTTAAAAATATCATATAAGTTTAGAGGGAAAAATCCAAGCAAACGCTCATCTTAAGCTTCTGAGAGCATGTTATTTGAAGGAAAAAAAACTTACAAAGAGCCAACTTATGACCAGATTGTCAGAAAGGAAATAGAAAACAAGAAATCGTACCATCTTCACCGTCAGAATCCTTATCATCCTCTGAGTGAACTCTTCGAAGTATTTCCTGCATTTTTCTTCTTGTTTCATCGCAGCACTGTATTTGGTGCAGCTCCTCGATAACATTCTCCCGCATGAAAGATTCTGTGCATCGAAGACTATGCCGCTTCCATAATAAAAACGACAAGTTATATTTATAGCTCACAGTTCATTTGCTTTGAGAAATTAAGCAATATTCTAGTTAGCAGACATAACTAAATATTACGCTACCTTGTAACATTCAAGAGAGCAATACCGAGTGTTGCATCGAGGGCAAGTATACTGAGAGAATTGCTTCTGGCAACTGATTATCAGAAGAAAAATCAAATCAATAAAGAGATAAAATAATTGGAAACTCTTTCAAGCACCGCAATAAGACTCTCAATACCTATAGCTTGGTTTAAATAAAACAAAAAAAAATAAAAAGCCAGTTAACTCGGATTTTGGCTCAGAAACGACAAGCTTTCAGCAATTTCATGAGGAAGAAAGCATGAAACGTAATTCTAGAATAAGAAAATGGAATCTTATGGGAAAACATTCAGTAGCCGAAGCAAAACAACACTGTTAAGGAATGACTGAGGAGAACTCACACGCGGCAGATTAGCCTCGCCTCGGGAAAGAAATTGGATAGTGCGGACTCTGAGACCAATTTATCCATGACAAGGCCGACGAAGGGAAGGCAACTACTCCATTGGGGACTGTTTGGTAGCCGGCTTTAAGCAGGATTTACGCAGTATTTAAGCTAAATCCTGCCAAACCGCTAAAAAAGGCATCCATAAATCCTGTGATCCCGTAAATCCAAAAAAGAAGCCGCTTCGCGATAAATCCTGGATTTAACTATTCACTAAATCCCGTGAGTTGGCGGATTTAGTAAATCCGGGATGAGCGAAGAGGAAGAATGGCGCGAAGAGGCTTACCTTTCTCAATTGTTTCTGTTAAGAGCGGAGCGGACGGATGAGAAAGATGGGTGTTTCGGTAGTTTCTGTAAGAAACGATCCCCTCGCTGCCTTCCCAGCTAGCTAGTGTATCGCAAAGGTTCGATCAGCGAACCGCTAGGGGGAGGATGTAGGCGACGAGAAATATCGGCCATAAGCAGCTCTGCATGAAATGAAATAAAGTGCAGAATTGCAGGTAGGTTACAGATCCTTTTGGGAGGTTCTTCAATATCTCTACGCAGCTCTACATAAATTAGACGGACGCAAATATTTCTTTTAGGCGACGGTTTCGGGCAAAGGGGGAAGAGGGTAATTGGGCTTTAGTTTTAATTTATTATTTGTTTAAGTTAATTTTATTATTATAACTGATTAAATTTTTATAATTACTTTATATATTATTCAATTAATAATAATTAGATAATTTATATGTAATTATATAATATTTACATAATGAATAAAGATTATTTAAATTTACAAATACTTAATAAAACTTTAAGTAATTCTTAATTTATATAATTCATAATTAATTAATATAAAAATATTCTTTAATAATTAATTTGTCTGCACAAATTTTAATAATTATTAATTAACGTAAATGCTAGTTTTCTATGTACTTTGAGGCTTTCAATATTTATTTGTATTTTTTTATTTAATATTTATATTTAGATGTTTCTTTTGATGAATCTTGTTATATTCTTCTAAAGTTGTCAAACTATTTTTTATAATTAACATGATTTACTTTGCTAGCATACAACCTCAGGATTTGATAAATCAGAATTTACAAAATTTACTAAAATATATTTTAACCCAATTGTTGGATCCCAAATTGTTCGATGGATTGTGCCTAAAATACATAGTGTTACTAGGATGAAAAGCATGATGAAGATGTTAAAGATGGAGCTCGGTTCGATTTCCTGCTCCCGCCTCTCGATTGCGAATGTCGCCTTCCCGCTCCAGCTCGATTGTAAAACCGCTCCCGCGCGCACGAAGCTAAGCTTCATTTTGTCTGATCGCGCTGTTGTTTCACGAAACGACATCTCCCGCTTCCTTCTTGTGATAAAAGACTTCTGAAGGCTCTTCTTCTGTTAAAGAAGTCACAGTTTTTTATGTTATTCTTTGGGTTTCCTCAAGATAGAGGAAGTAAAGTGCAAGAAGTAGTTCATTGGGGCAAAAGGAAGAAGAAAGAAGAAAAAGAAGATTGTTCTTCCTTGGCTTCTTCTTGGTGGCTTGTGACAGAAGAGAATTTGAGTTTATTTCTCTTGTAAGTTTATTTTCTTTGGTATATCTTGGTGTAAAATTTCTTCGGTGTATCTTGGGGTAGAGAGTGAAGAACAAAGAGTAAGAAAAGAGAGCAACGAAGTGAGAGATTCTTCTTGAAAGTCGAGTAGATTGACTGGTGTAAATTCCTCAAGTAGTAAAATCCTCTACAACTCCGTGAACGTAGGCAATTTGCTGAACCACGTAAATTTGTTTGTTTCGATGTGTTACTGTTTTCTGGTGTGAATTTTTCTCATTCTATTTTTCAATTCGTCAAAGATTGTTCTCGTATTTTATTTCTATATATTATCACAACAACTGGTATATCTCGCATCAATTGTTATCAGAGTTTGATTTCAGATCTGAGGAAGAATGATGGCTGCAAATGAAGTGAAGGTTTCAGGGATCGAGAAATTTGATGGCACAGATTTTGGTTATTGGAGGATGCAGATAGAGGACTGTCTCTATGGGAAAAAACTTCATTTTTCATAATTAGGGAAAAGATCTGAAAGGATGGATGAGGCTGAATGAAATTTATCGGATCAACAAGCTCTAGGGGTTATTCGATTGACCCTATTGATGTTCGTTGCACACAACGTCGTCAAGGAAATGACGATTACAAATCTCATGGAAGCCTTATCGGGTATGTATGAAATGTCGTCTGTGAATAACAAGGTGTACTTGATGAAGAAGTTATTCAACTTGAAGATGACGGAAGGCGTTTATGTTGCTCAACACCTGAATGATTTCAATACTATCACAAATCAATTGCCGTCTGTTGAAATTGATTTTGATGATGAGATATGTGCGCTAATATTGTTGGTATTGTTGTCAAATAGTTGGGAAGACATGAGGATGACAGTTAGCAGTTAGCAGTTCTGCAGGTAAATCTAAACTGAAATGTGATTCATGTGAAGACAAAGACTTTTAGTTGCAAAAGTGGAGGATTCATGTTGAAGAAAAGGGCGACGCCGCCAGTAGAGGATATCAGTTTGAGGAAGAAGACATTGTAGCCTGTGTACCAGTCTCCAAGTGGAAGATTTGTTAAGGATGGTGCCCGGTTCAATTTCTCGCTCCCGCCTCCCGATTGCGAATGTCACGTTCCCACTCTCGCTCAATCGTGAAACCGCTTCGATCACCCTGTTGTTTCACAAAATGACGTCTCCCACTTCCTTCTCGCGATAAAAGACTTCGGATGGCTCCCCTTCAGTTAGAGAAGTCACGGTTTTTGGTGTTCTTCTTTGGGCTTCCTCGGGATAGAGGAAGTAAAGTGCAAGAAGTAGTTCCTTATAGCAAAAGGAAGAAGAAAGAAGAAGAAGAAGATTGTTCTCCCTTGGCTTCTTCTTGGTGGCTTGTGGTAGAAGAGAAATTGAGTTTATTTCTCTTGTAAGTTTATCTTCTTCGGTGTATTTCTGTGTAGAGTTTCTTCGGTATATCTCAATGTATAGAGAGAAGAACAAAGAGAGAAGAAGAGAGAACAACGAAGTGGACATAAACAATTTGTCTTGAATTATGTCATCGGTATATCTCAATGTATAGAGAGAAGAAGATTCCTTTTATAAGTCGAGTCGATTGACTGGTGTAAATTTCTCAAGTAGTAAAATTCTCTGCAACTCCGTGGACGTAAACAATTTGCCGAACCACGTAATTTGTGTGTTCCGCTGTGTTACTGTTTTTTGGTGTGAGTTTTTCTCATTATATTTTTTGCTTCGTCAAAGATCGTTCTCCTATTTTATTTATATATATATACCACAACAACTAGTATATCTCGCATCAAAAGATATAACTAATACTTGATATTTATTTTTATAGTGATAATTATGTTCTGCCTTTCTTGTAAATTATTCTCCAATTTATAATTCATAAGTATTATTTGTAAACTACATGGTGGTTCTCTATTAAAAGAGGAACACTATTACAGATAATGAGCTATTATATTTACACATCGATAACTGAATATTCTTTCTTCCGACCTCATAACTCATGCTAGCACCGCTAAGCTTCTGTAACTCCCTTGAATTATGCTTCATATTTGTAACCATTTAGTTTTGGTGTTTGAATTTTATAAACCAGTCATCATTCATTCAATTGACCCTTTATCATTCGACCAGTTTTAATGCTCTTCGGGCGCCTCATCTAGGTGTTTGAATGTAAAGTCACATACTCCTAGGATAGAATTATTTCATCGGACAGAGGATAAATCACTGTAATCCAATAAATAAACTAGCTTCATATTATGTATCTTTGTTAAAATACCTTATCTTAAACGACCACTATTTTTCAAAATAACTATTTTTCAAAATAATAGTTACTGAAAATTCAGTGTTAATATATCATTCGTTCATTTATTATAATTTTCAATTTATATAATTAATAATTGATTATTATTAAATTTAAATTATTTATTCATAATGTAATTCACATTATTTAAATCTTTATTAAATTTAACATTGCTCAATATTTGATCAATCAAACTAATTTATTTAATCATGCCAGGTTTAAATTATTAAGAATTTAATAAAAATAAAAAAAAATAGATTATTATTTTATTAAAAATTTTGATATTTGACTGAGAATTTGAAAAATGGACGAATGTGAGCGCTAGATTTGTAAATAGCAATGTTTCGAGTGCTCTGTATGTAAACCATTTTTAATTTAATATTAAACTCAGATTAATTCAATTGTTTGCTTGATTGATTCAATAAATTGTAAAATCAAAATCCGCCAGAATCACAACTAATAATCGAATCAATATTCTAAAAATCCAATCAATCAACCAAATACGACAGAGAGCACCATTCAATCACTACTGAATAAATCAATTACTAGGCCAGCTTAGAAGTAAACAAAAAAAAAAAAAAAAGGCACCTAAATCTCCCAACCCCATTAGCCTAACTACAAACACACACCACAGCATTAGACCACCATGAATTACAACCCTGACATAATCTAACAATGAATTTAACTAACTTTATACAACAAAACTCTTTACAAGACGAACACACAAAGATCTCATGGCCTATATAACCATTGAACCATCTCCCTTGTACTCTCCATCAAGCTCTCAACAGCAGCAAAAGGCTTAAGCGGATTCCTGACCTGTAGGAATTGCAGCTGTGCAGTGCTGGTAGGTAGTAAATGGCGTCTCGATGGCCCTCACCAATGGCTCGCAGGACTGAATTCTGCAAGTTGTTTGTTGTAGAAACTGGACCAGAGACAGAAAAATATCCATTCGGGTAACATCTCTGTTTGCCTGCAGGAGGAGCAATGAAATGAAATGAACTCGATTATAATTTGAGAAATGAACACTGTATGGTTAAATTTGGAGTTGTTAAGCCAAGTACCTCAACAATGAACCTTGCCCAGACTTTTCTTCCACGATTTTCAATCACTCCTTTTAGTATTGTCAGCCCGAATCCACGAACAATGTCGGCGATCTCGAGAAAGAAACCTCGTTCTTCACAGAGCATCTGTAGCCAAGTGCAAGAAGGTTTAGATGAGGTTGAAGCGAGGGCTGTCAAAAAAAAAAAACTCGTTGTTCACGAACAACTCGTGTTCGGTTCACTCATTAAGTAAATAAGTCGAACATGAACAATTTTTTTAAGCTCAAATCATAAATGAACCGAAAACGAACAATCATTTGTTCGCTCGTGTTTGGCTCGTTTTAGCTCGAAATAAAGAAATTATATATATATTATTTATGTAATAATATATCATATATATTATTTATATAATAATTCACCATAGCGTCTTTTATTGCATGGGAATGTTGTTGGTTCGTATGTGTGGTCAAGTAGTTTTGTGTCTTCTATTGCACAGAATTGATGCAAGTGAATCCAACACCCTACATTTTTTTTTTCAAATTAATTTTAACGAGTCAAACACGAGCCGAACACAAATAAGAATATTTAAATCGAGTTGAACACGAACAAACTGTTCATGAGCTAATTTGAACATGACCCGATTTCGAACACAAGCAATTTCGAACGAGCCAAGCCTAAGGTCACTCAAGCTTGGCTCGTTTATAGCCCTAGTTAAAGCTGGTGAGGAATAGAAAATCATTTGGATCAAGGATATTGAAATCAAAGTTTGATAGCAATGTGATACACTCCATTGCTGGGATCGTGATAAACATCAATTCGAGGATGTTGCAAACTCCAAAAATTAGGTGGGGAAGAATTTGATAAGAGAATAATGATTTGGGGAGAAACTTAGCTAATCTTTTCCTTTCATTCCAAATGCCTCTAAATGGAAGCTATTTCTGAATTTACGAAGTTACTAAATTATTACTAACTCATTCCTTAACCAATTAACGACTCTTATTAATCTAATAAAAGAATAAATCATCTTCTATCCTCATTACCTTATCATAATGGACTCTAAAGCCATTGGCCCCGATTAAAAGTTTGTAATACAGTTATCGCAAAGCATATGCAGACCATGAGACTCATTCTTATACAAAATTTGGTCAGGATACTCCTAATCCATTTTCTCTATAAAAAATATGGCAGTGGACTGCGTGTATTTATACCTCAACTAGCATTTGCCCAGTAGGGTGGAGATCCTCAATTAATATTGGGCAGACCATTGTTTGACCTGCTACTTCATAGGCCCAAGTTGCACCAGCAACACCTCCATTTGTATTATCTTTCAAGACAACCCCACTATCTTCACCAATAATCTACATGCCAACCACAGCCAAAACAAATGTAGTATCAGAATAACATTTTGATAGAAAAGCACAAGTCTTGCCGTGAGGAAAGTCGTACCTTTTGCTCATCAACTTGTTTTAGTTTATCAGCATACCTTGTGACACTTTGCAAAAAAAGCAAATGCTTGATCGTGCGATCCAACAATGCATCAATGCTACACTGTTATAATCCAAATAAAGGGTCTACTAATCACAAGAAATCCTATTTTGAGAAAAATGTTTCAGAGAGAATGAGAATAAACACCTTTGCACCATTGGGAACGATTTCTCGCAGCTCTTTTACACGATCTTGTATTTGCTGTCGGTCTTTAGGCCTGGTTCGAGTGTTCTCGCCAGGCCTGGACCTTTTTCTAACTACTTTTACAGTCTCTTCTGTTCTCTTTGGCTCATTATATGCAGAACTTTCAGCATTAACACTACAACTGTCATCAATCCATGTGCGGACATTAGGCATTGGCTGAACACTCTTTGGTGAATCTGGTATCATATTTTCTTCATTCCATTCGGGAAGTGTAGCTGGAGGTGTCTGAATGAGAGAAGAAATATCACAAACTGGAAGATGGTCTGCTTGTGCATGACTGACTTTTGTTGGTAATTGATGCCTTGACTCTTGACTAGCAGAAACATTGGTCTTTGTCCTGACTGAATTACAGCTAGAAGCCTCATTAGAATTCCCAGCAGCTACAGCATCCAATAGCTGTTCAAGACCAGAGTCTGAAAACAACTCCTTTTCAGCACCAGTAACTGAGCCAAATTCCACTTCAGATGGGCAATTATTGCTAGAAATTGGCAATATGATGTCATCCCAGTACTCTTGCATCAAAATCATTGGACTGAAATTCAATTCCATGCCATCAAACAGGTCGTTATCTAAAACAAGCTGAGTTGAAACATTAGAAGTGCCTTTCATCCAATTGCCACCTCTATTCGGAGAGGAAGAAACACAGACACCTGGGGACTCAGACAGACTATTAGGAAATTCAGCTGTCATGCTGCAACCAAGACTATTATTGACCTGTTCATCTGTTTGCTGGCTCGAATGGATGTGATTATTCAGGGATATGTCATGAATATGTTGAGTTTCGGGTTCATTAGTACACTGAGCCAATGGAGAATTTTGAGTACTTAGTTGCTGATGAGAAGTGAAGAAATTTTCAGGAAATTCTAGAGTAAAGGGAGAGGCTTTTGATGAGGATTTACTGGTATATAAGCCACATACAGGTGGTGAATAACAATGCTGGATCTCTTGTAATTTCCCCGCACAATCAAGGCTGTGTACACTTTTATTAGAAGACATGCCGCTCCTGTCCAGCATTCCCTGCGGCCCAACTCCGCCATGCAACAAAGTTGTAGAATGTGAAGTCGGAATCATGTTGAAAAAGCCTGGCATGGCTAACCTAGGGAATGGTTTATGCTCCACATAAGAAAACGAGCCAATTTCTTTAGGCAGTGTGTTAGATTTGAAGTATGCAGTGAACGAATTAGTTGGACATTTAAAATTGGAGTTAAGCCCGTGGTTGTTGGGTGGCAACAAGATTTGAGCTTCTGACAAAACTTCTTGCTGGTTTGTGAATTTATGAGCTGTGCTGTTGATGGAAGGTGTTTCATGGGATGGGTTGTGAAAACCATTAAAGGAACTTGATGAAGTCGATGTGAAGGACAATGAAGATAAATGAGGCTTTAGGTTGCATGTTTGAGATATTGTACCAATTTGAGATCCCATGGAGAGAAGTTTTGAAGCTAAAGATGAGTATTCTGAAGCTAAATGGTTGTCTTGTCTCTGTCTGCTATCACGCGATTTATTTTTCTTGAGTGTGAAGTTCCAATCTACGCGTTCAACTCCAAGTTCTCTGATTCCATGCTGATGAATCAAATACTGAGCCCGAGCAATGAAGTCTGAATTTTCACAAATCTGGAGAAGGATAAAAGTTAATTAAAACGTGTTACATAAATAATATGAACACATACAATAGAAGACATGAAGATTTGCTTTTTTTGAAAGATTCAAGCCTGAAAACAAATTTCAAGCATGCGTACTATTGAGCATTCCTTATCACCCAACAACAACACAACAACAACAATAAAGCCGGCGAAGGAAATTTGTTCTGTGATCCACCCCAGTATAGCGGGCTGTCGGTATTTTGACCTACATGGTCATTACAAAAGGTAAACATTTGAATTTGCAGTCAGCATAATTAGGGAGTTCTTAGAAAATCCAAAAAATTCAGATGAGCCTACCTAATACAGAATGAACTGGAACCCAAAACAACAACAAGCCTTTATCGCACTAAGTGGGGTTGGCTACATGAGTCACTTGTCTCCATTGTGTCCTATTGAGTGTCATATTTTCAATTAATTCTAATAAATCAAGATCATCTTTTATACAACATGCCTAGGTCTTTCTTAGTGAGTTATGTGTAATTAGAGGGTTTTATTAGGTTTATTTGTTAAACATTGTAAAACATAATTAAACACCTGTTGAATGAAATAGCAAATTTTTTATCAAAGATTTCTTTATGGTATCAGAGTTGGGTTGTAGAGCGAGGAGTTTGGATCGACCGGTAGGGAGGTTCGATTCCTTGCACGATGCAATTCCTTGTGTACTGCGATTCAAACATTGCTTCCTTCGCTAGCGCTCGACGCGTGAGCTGAGGGCGAAGGTTTCGGGCAAGAAGGTCGTGGCGACTCTGTGCGAGGCAAGGGCAGAGCGACTCGATGACTTTGTGCCGATTCGTGCTAAGAGTTTCGGAATTCCACTGTCGTGCGTGAGACAGACGATGCAAAAGAGGAGTGGCGGTGCAACACTGTGCAAGAAAAGTGTTTTCGGAGTTGATTTCATGAACAGAGGAGGCGGAGCGTGATGGGAAAGGAAGGCATGGACGGTAGCGTGAACAGGAAAGGCAACAGTGAACATTGTGACTTTCAAAATTCCTCCGTGCGAGATGTTGTCGGAGATAAGCAGTGAAGGTTTGGAAGCTTGTATCTAGTTTTTTTTTTTTTTTTTTTCTGCCTTATACGAGCAAGAGAGCTTCTGTTGCTACCTTGCTCTTGTCTTTGTCTCATCAAAAATTGTATCTTGTGATTGAGAATGGTGACAAAAAAATTATGTGAGATAAAGGATTGAAACTTCTGCGGAAGATGGATCCTGAAGTTGTGAAGGACTTGGTCGGAATCGTAAAGGGAGCTAATGTCCGACGGGAGCCACTGCCTCAACAAGTGTTTCGGCTCAGCCAAGTGAGCTGCCAAGAATGTGATCAACTTGGCTGCCTCAAACTCAGGTAGGAAGGGTGCTCAGGGAGAGACCATTGGTGGTACAACTACAGAGAAATGGAGCACTTGAGCAAGACGTGTCCAAATCTACTCAAGGAGAGAGAGATGGGTGGACGTGGACAATCTAGAGGCCGTGGTCGTAATCGTGGGAACCAAAGTGATAAAAGAGGTGGCTACCGGGCAAGTCTAATGGTAATGAAGAACGAGGGAGAGACAGATGTTGAAGACGAAGCAGAGAAAGACATGTGATGTCACTGGGGATGCATCTACCTATTCGTCATCTAAGGAAACACTGCTAGTTATGCTCACTCAGCCAAAGGTGCTCGTGAGACACATGCTCTTGCCTCTATATCCACCACAAGTTTCCCATAATGCATAGTGGATTCTGGTGTATCTCGACATGCCAACAAGTCCCTTTTCTCGATTTTTCCGGACTTTTGAGACACTTACACCATCCACTTTTGATTCAAAACTCCCAGGTACTATTATTCTTCCTTCGATGTGAAGTTGTTGGAAAGATTCATATAATTTTTATTAGATTGAGATTCAAACTAGGATTAGAACTCTTCGACAGTAGTGAGATTACTAGTTCAAAATCGAACTTTGTCCTAAATTGAAATCCATATGAGGGTGAGTTCTGATAGTTGGATCTTTAATTACTAAAGCTTTAGATTTAGATTCTATGATCTTTGTATTAGAATTGGATTATCAAATTTACAGTCAAGTTTTTCATTTAATTTTTTATTTGAAATAAGTGTTCCAGAAATTATTTGAAGCATATTATTAATGTAATTTAATTGTTTTATTATTGTGATGAGTTATTTAATCACTCGTGGATCATTACTAATTTTACTAAATACAAAAATCTCTAAATTCTCATTTTTATCGTTTTTTAAAATAGTACATCTAGGGAGGAGATAAAATTTCTATGATTTCTCATTGGATGGTTCGTCTTTTTCTAGTTAGCATGGCTATTTCGATTTGATTGGTATATTTTTCTATGAACCATGTAACAAAAAAAAATGGTACATTTTCCTTGATTATTCTTTAAAGAAGTATCGGAGTAAAATATTTCTAAAATTTTCATTCATTTATCTTCAAAGGTAATTCTTCTATACCAAAAATTGATTATTCTTTAAAAAAGTATCGGAGTAAAATATTTCTAAAATTTTCATTCATTTATCTTCAAAGGTAATTCTTCTATACCAAAAAAGATGAAAACAATTATATTTTTGTTAAAAATAATTTTGAAATAGATATTTTCTACCAATGCTACCTATTGTGTAAGTCATTTAAAATTATAAATCATCTTGGATGTAGTTTAAGAAAAATTATCTTTCAACGAGTAACACCCAAAACTTGTGAAACCAGGTAAAATTTTGACACTTGTAAAATTTATCCCAAATTTCTCATCTCCCGAAATTTAACCAAGCCAATTTTATAAAATTCTACATGTCGAATCGATCAATTTGATATATAATACTATATATGAATTATGACTACCAAACACAAAAATACTTTCCTTACATATTGAAGCTTTTACATAGTCCCCTTATAAATTTTGATTTACAAATCACCAACTCCAAGAAATCTCAAGAGTTTACCTTCAACAAGATGTATCTTATCATAATCTCTTGCATAATTATATTCCCTTAATGTGAAGGGGAATAAAAAGACATGCTTGAGATTGAGATCCAAAATTCTCTGGGACCACAAATACTAAGGACCAATGCATCATAGTTCTCTTAATTTATAAAATTCACACATTCCTAATTCTGATTTGAACTTTGACCATCATTATTCAATGGTAGCTTTATAACCGACATGAACTGTTAACAGTTTTCATAATTCCAACCTAGCTTTTTGAAATTGATGACATCAAGCTCAATGCACTTTGTTATTAAAGTTGATATATTGATATATGTTGAACTCAGCTTACTCGTAATTAGATTGTATTCATTGACGTGCATCATTGTTAGAGACTAAAATATTTTTTCGTCAGATATAGCTTGTTTACAACAATAAAATTATTTTCATACTAATTATATGAAGACATCTTTATAAGCCCTCAATTTGTGTTTGTGCATATTGGATGATGCTCAAAATTTTAAACAGATTCTACATAAATCAACTAGAGCAACTACTATTTACATTATGTTATGTCCATTTCTTTTTGTTCCTAATTTATTAGTATCAGATGTATCTATTTGCCTAATTGGGTGTATTTAGCACCTTTTGTTGTAGCATGTCAAAAACTCCTAAATCTATTTTCAGTCATTTTGTCTTCAATAAATGTTACTCTGACCATAAATCTAATATAATCATATATTATTAACTTATAATTATTAAATTTGCTGTAAACCTATTTTACCGTTCTCATTTCCATTCAAATTTATCTATCAATGAGCTTTTAAGACCCTATCACTTACGAAACATAACATATAGCTGTATCAGTACAAACTTTATAAACTTTATATGTAAGCTATTATGATATTCTTTTATCATGTAACAATTCTCAAGAACTTTTTGATTTAAAAGATAAAATTATTAAAGACCAATTTGGTTGTAATATTAATTTAATTATCTTTTGAAAATCATTATAACTATTTTACTTTTCAATTGTTATCATGGATTTTCTTAATGATCTTATTACTTGAAATACTTAAGACACTCTGCTACTAAAATGTCCTTCTCTTTTATTAATTGTGCATTAATAAATGATTAGTGTATATATAAAATGTCGCAATTAAGCACACTTCATCATCAACAAGATGACTTATAAAGTCTAACGAACCTCATGAGAACAAATGAAAAAGGAAAATTTATATACATACAACATAATGCTTATGCATTTACATATATAGCACCAAAGATTTGATATTTGTATGTTATGTCAAAAACCTATGCTTGAAAAGTTATATTTCACATTAAAAATTAGTAATATTATTCTCTTTTAAAGTAATATCAAAGATTTGAGTATCATACATGTGAATATGAAAATTTGGGAGTTAGATATTTATAAAAAAGAATGTGCGGTATGTATGTAAAATGCCTCAGAAAAAATAGTATTGCTCCTTCACAGGTTTAAATAATAGTGATGAAAATTTTAACTAACCTTTTGTGTGGAACCAAATAGAATCACACCTAATGGAGGCAGAGAAATTACCGCGACTGTCTGTAAAATAAAAAAAACAAGTTTGAGAACATATTTCATGCAGCATAACAAAAAAAAAAAAAAAAACCGAAAATTAAAGCGACAAAAAGTTAGGAGTGACAAAAATGTATGTAAATGATAGAAGATAAATGCAGTAAATTTGAAAAATAATTATATATTAGGATAACTTGATAAAATTTATTTCAGGATTGGAAGATATTTCTGCAAAATAATGGGACTTTTGATATGAACTTAAGGACAAATAAACAGAGATACAAGATAACATAAGAAATCCAGTTTGAACAAGAAGAAACATAAATGTTCTTTAAATTATACCCATTCCCTTTTATTGAATAAATATTTTCTTTTCCTGAAATATTTACATCATTATCTTCTGATACAATATTTCATTGGAATTTTTTGTAATAACAAACCTTTATTCCTGCCAATATTTGATGTTGCCACTCAGCATTTTCCTGATAACGACAAACTAAGCAGATAAGCATAAAGCACATTGAAATGTCAAAATAGGTTCAAAAAATATCTATAACTTGTAAATAAACTAGCAAATAACAAAAAATAAAAATAAAAAATAAAACAATTGAGGTATACCTTAAACGTATCTAACTTGACACCGGTGCTGATATCACAAGATTCCATAAATCGGGCATCAAAATTGATCCACCGGCGTTTGCCACTTAGGGCTACTTCCCCAATGATTCTTCACAAAAATAAAAAAAAGAAGAAGAAAAAAGTGATAATTAGCCATTACAAAGCTATCTTAATATGCAACTTATTTTAAGTTTAAAGAATTTTAATATGCAGACTAAAATCATCTATGTTTTGGATGCTTCAATGTCAAATAAATGAAAATATGAGCTTAGAAATTATGTTTCCAAGACCAAACAAAATGAATATTTGAAGTTTTTTGTTTTTTTTTTGAAGTTAAAATTAAATGTGTTGAATCCCTTTTTATCCATGAATCACTCTCAAGGAATAGAGCATGAAACTTTAATAAAGCGCGAGGGGAGGGGGGTGGGAGGAGTGTTGTTGTTGTGAGATCTAGATATACAAGTTGATGTGATATATATATATATATATATAAATCAAAAAGGAGAACAATCAACGAAGTGAGAAATAGAATGAGAAAAATCACAACAGAAAAGAAAAACATAGCAAAACACACAGATTTATGTGGTTCGGCAAATTGCCTATATCCACGGAGTTGCAGAAGATTTTACTACTCGAGGATTTTACACCAGTTGATCACCTCGACTTACAAGAGGAATCTCTCACTCTTTGTTGCTCTCTCTTCTTCTCTCTCTATACCGAGATACATCGAAGAAACTCTACACCAAGATACACCGAAGAAGACAAACTTACAAGAGAAATAAATCTAATTTCTCTAAACCTTCCTCTATCTCGAAAAAATCGAAGAAGAACTCAAAGCGTGATTACTAAACCCAAGGAGAGTCATCCGAAGCTTTTATCACGAACAGGAGGGAGCGAAGAGATGCTTCACTTCAAAAAAGAGGAAGGCGAGAGTGGTTATTTGTGAACGGGTGTGACCCTCCAAAGCAAAGTAACCACCCAAGCATAGTGGACTGGGCTTCACCGTTTCTAACAATTCTCCCAATTGGAGACCGGTATACATGCTGCAACATCTCTTTCCTCAAACTGATATCCTGCAATGACGGTGTCGCCTTTTTCTTCAACATGTATCATCCACCTTGAATCCTCCACCTCTGCAACTCAAAGCCTCCATCTTCACTCCAGAAGACCAATTAAAGCTGTGCACAACTTCAGTTTCTCAAGAGTAACACCCTCAGTTAACATATTAGCAGGCTCCACATAGCTTTGCACCTCCAAGCTATTTCCTGAGTCACCCTTGTCTCTTCTTACAACTCCCACTACATGGACAACATCTTGCCTCTGCTGAAAGCCTTTTCAACTAGTCTAGCCTTGCACCTCTTACTGACATCACACTCGGTCTTCACCTGATACACCCACTTGTTGTGCAATGTCTTCTTCTCTAATGGAAGTTCTGTCAGCTCCCACTTGCTCGAACTTTCATCTTGCAAGATTTCGTAATAGCTTTGTGGTTCTTCAACATCTGTCTGTGGAACAATAGGAATGAGTTCCCCAGACCCACTTTCCTCTTCACTTCCATCACTGTCCTGCACTGTGGCCTCTGGTAGATTTTCTACCACATTCAAATCCCCTGAATTCAATATCAAGCCTTTAACAGAACTATAAACTACCAACAATAGTGCATCAAGTGATTCTTCAGATACCACATTTGCGCTATCATTTTTCATCTTCTTAGGATTCCAACAGTTCTTTATGTTGTTGTTGTTGCGAGATCTAGATATACGAGTTGATGTGGTATATATATAAATAAAACAGGAGAACGATTGATGAAGTGAAAAATATAACGAGAAAAACTCACACTAGAAAAAAAGTAACATGATACACCGAAAATATATGCATTTTTAAACCTATATTTTATACTTATTTTTGGTGATATTGCACCTTAATGGAAGGTATTTTGATGTTTTCTTGCAGGTTGTTGATTTTTAAGACTTAAGACAAAAGAAGAAAAAATGATGAAATTTGGAGTTAAAATGACGTTTTTGAAGAAGTACTCAACGCCGACCGCCCCAAGGTCAGCGCCGACTGCGCATAACAACAAAACAGCTGAAATTTTTACTCAGTGCCGACAACACCAGAATTAGCGCCGATGGCGCCAAAGGCGGTTCAACCCCCGTTTCTAGAAGGTTCGATGTATTTGGACGATTTTTGAAGAGTTTTTGGAGGCATCTCTTAGAGAACCAACCTTGGGCTTTATATGGGGCCAAAATTTATCAGGAAAGTGTCTCCTTTTCACTCCAAGACATTCCACCATGCTCCATTTTCGCCATTCTTCATAATCCATCTTCATTCCACCACCATATTTGAGTCCATTAGTGATTTTTCTTTTATAGTTTAGAGTTTGTGTTGTAAGATTTAGTGTGAAACTTTCTGTAAGAGTGTTGGAGAAGGAGAAAAGTGAGAGATATCTTATTCCTGCATTTTTAAGGAAAAACTATAAAAGATTTGCTTTGAGAAATAGTTTCAGATAAGTTTTGTTTGTTTATTAGTGTTGTATGAGCTTTCTTTTATATATGAAATTTGTATTTTGTTGTGTCTTTCTCATGAAGTCTGAGTAGTTCACTCTATTTTTCTCCCTAATTTGAAATATGGTGAAATGAAGAAATAATATGATGTGCCAATATTAAAATATAAAATAAATTGTGATAATTTTTCAACTCTGAACTTAATTTACATATTGATCTGGCCAATTAAATTGAAAATATGTTGTGAAACATATGATCATGGAAATAGAGTATGAGTTATACAACAGAGTGAGAATCACATTTGATTTCATGGAGGAGAAATTCGTTCATGGAATTAAGTGCAAATAAATAGGGAAATATTCTTTATTGGGTGTAGAATTGGAGAAACTTTAGGGTGACAAACTAAAATCCCCAATTTGGTCTTAGTGTTTAAAAATTAAAGCGAGAGTTAGCCTTCAGGTGAAGGGAAGTGGGAGCTCATATGAGCCGGTATCCTCCTAGCCTAACCATACATTTAAAGACTAAACCTAGGATTAACCAATGATTTTCTATGCACTGTATCATGGTAGAGAATTATAATTGCTCTTATTTGACATAATACATATTATAAACATTTATCTTATCTCATTTCACCAGAACATCATTGTAGTGGGAATGATGCTTTTTCAAGTAAGAAATCTTCATTACATAATTTAGTTAATATATATAGTGGATTAGTATTTACTTTTTTAAACATTGCATTTCTGTTTTTCTAATAGTTAAATACTTGTTTTGATAACATCTCAACATTCGAAATTAGTGACAGTGATTTTGTTTGATTTTTTTGTAAATTTTCTAGTAAAACTTATAATTGCCAATTTACACCTTACCTGTGGGATCGATATTTGGGGCTTAAATAGAAAGCCCCTTATTACTTGATAATTATACGTATACTTGCGTAAAATTTCATTATTAATTGCTTCTAATTATATAAATTTTACACAACTTACTTTTCATATAAGGATCACGTTTTTGGTGTTGTAGTGGTGTCAACTTCATAAATCCTTATATATAAAAAATCGAGATCAAGTTTTTGATGCCGTTGCGTGCGGAAAGTAACGGTTACATTTAGGTAAATTAAATAGTTTTGATAAATAAAAAAAGTTAGAGATAATATAAATACTATAAAGATATATAAAAATAAGAAAAAATATAAAAAAATTAAAAAATCCAAAAAGAATTTATTTTGCTTACTTTATTTGTTTATGCGAAATATTGGATCTGAAGGCTTAGTACCTTACGATTCAGAGTTAGAACGTACTATTAGAAAAATTCGAAAACAACAAAGAGAAATTAAAAATTTAAAAGAAATGATAAATAACTTAGAAAATCCAATAAATGAGAATCAACAAAGACCTTTAAAAGATTATGCGAATCCGACAGCAGATAAACTTCACTTGACTATTCAAAATCCTGATGTTAATTCATTTGCTGTTAATTCATTTGAGCTTAAACCTGTTATTATCCAAATGGTACAAAATAATCAGTTTGGAGGATCACCTTCTGAAGATCCTAATTTACATTTTGCTAGTTTTCTTGAGATTTGTGCTACATTTAAATATGACGGAGTGTCTAATGATGTTGTTAGACTTAGACTTTTTCTTTTTCATTAATGGATAAAGTCAAGACTTGGTTGAATTTATTAGCACCTGGATCTATCAGAACTTGGGGAGAACTATCACAAAAATTTTTGACTAAATATTTTCCACCCTCGAAAACCGCTAAGCTTAAAAATGATATTACATCTTTTTGTCAGTTTGAAGGGGAATTGATATATGAAGTCTGAGAAAAATTTAAAGATCTTTTTAAAAAATGTCAACACCATGCTTTGCCAGATTGGTTAATAATTCAAACGTTTTACAATGGATTAATATGATCACTAAGATCTATTATACATGATGTTGCTGGTGGATTATTAATGTCAAAACTTTTTCATAAAGCATATTTTTTAATTGAATAAATGAGTACTAATAATTTTCAATGGCCCTCTGAAAGGGTAAATCCTGAGAGAGTAGCCAATATTCATGATTCTGATGCAATGTCTATTTTGGCATCTCAAATTGTTGTTATTTCTAAAAAAATTGATCAAATAGGAGTGAACTATTCTCAAATACCCCCAGTATTAGAAAAAAATTTATTATGACAGATTATTGATACTCAACCATCTTATGAAACTTTAAACGCTATAAATAATCGAAATAAAAATCCTATTCTAACTATTTTAACCCTGGATGGAAAAATCACCCTAATTTTAGTTGGAATAATTATAACAATCCGGTGAATCTATCAAGAAATCTGAACAATCAAGGAAATCCTGATTTTCAACCTTATTATCCTCCAGGATTTAACTCCAATCCTAATTCACAAGTTAAGGAAAAGAAGTTGATGGAAAAAGTGATGTTGAATATAGAAAATAAAATACAAAATCAAGGGGCTGCTATTAGAAATATTGAAAATCAATTAGGACATATTGCTACTGCACTTAGTAACAGACATTCTGGAATTCTTTCGAGTACTCTGGAAGTTAATCCAAAAGATCAAAATAAAGAGTAAATAAAAATTATTC